TAGGTTACAAATAATTCCTATGATCATCTAAAACATCATAAGAACAAGAACATGAATATGAACACATTCATAAATTACACTTAAAACTTTGTAATTTTGATAACTAGTTGTTGTAAATGAATTAGCAAAGACATTACACCACCAAAAACAAGTTTTCAATTACCAAAACAGTTTAGGGTAATGTTTCTAATTCATTTCCAGCAACTAAATCGAAATTCTGCAATCAGTCGACCCTACTCGCCGAGTGCATGAACTCACTCGCCGAGTTGGTTGAAGATACACATGAACTCGACGAGTCCCCCTATAGACTCGACGAGTCCACTCGCAGACAGCAAGATTTTCGACTTTTTTTCAACTTTTAAGCACAAATAAAAACAAACAAGCCTAGGCTCTGATACCACTGATGGGTTTTGAGCATTCTAACACTTCCTAAGTGTACATGCAACCCTAATAACCTTGGATCTATGTTTGTCTAATTATCATGCAAAGTTGAATTCCAAGGTTATATTCCTATCTAGCATACATGGGGAACAATTTTAACTTAAAGTATAGATAGAATAACTTACCTTGTTGTTGTTTGTGTTCCTTGAAACCTTGTGAGCCTAGCACCCCAAGTGTGATGCCTCAAATGCTTCACACAACACCAAATGCTCTTGGAAGAACTTATGAGAGAACACACACTTCTCAAAAATCGGCCAAGCCCTCTTGTTTCTTAGTGTAGCCGATTTTGGTGGAGAATATGTTTCTTATATAGTGTTGACACATCTAGGGTTAAACCCTAATGTGTCATGACTCTTCATTTCCATGACCCATGGGTTTGTAACTCCCATGGAGCATCCTATGGGTGGAACCCAACTTGATAATCCATGGAGCCTCTTAGCCCACTATACAAGATATGGATGATTTACATAATCAACCCATATATTTAATTAGTTATCTTTTGATCACATAATTAATTCTAAATTAATTCTTGATAAAACTAATCAAATAATATTATTAATATATTAGAACTTATAATATATTAATAATCTCCAAGTGTTATTTCTCTCATTTAGTCTATCCAATTGCATGGTGCCATGCAACCCAGATAGACCATGCCGGGTCGGGTCAAGTACATACCAGAAATAGTTATGGACTTAGACACCTTATCCAACAAAATATTGAGCCATGCATGAGATCTAGATCTTTGGAGGAGAAAAGAAAGGTGTTAGAGGGTGTATGAGCCTTTATAGCCATGCCAAGGCTTAAAGGTTTTGACTTTATGGGATTAGAGGCTTAAGGAGAGCCAGATCTGAAAGTTGAAGGAGTGTCTTAACCGTTTAAGACCAAAATCCATGGAATGGATGAAACTGAGACTTACGTTGGGCGTAACTCTCAGTACGCGCAACGTAAGGGGTAGAGACCCCCGATTGTAGTTCATCGACGTACGCCCCGTGTACAGAAGCTGGTACGCCCCACGTACTGTTGGCTGTTGAGTTTTGTTGACTTTTAGGGTTTTGGTCAACATGTGGACTTTGAGTCAAGGAGGGGTGAAATGGTCTTTTACCCCTCTGTGGGATAATGAAAAGGTTTTAGCCTAGTCTTGGAAGCCTATATTAATTAGATTGATATTTCGTTGTGATTAGGCGAGGTTGGGTCGTCGTTTCGAGATTCGGAGAAATCGAGCACGTGAGATTCTAGACTTCCTACGAGGTGAGTCTTCTCACTATACTGTACCCGGAAGGGTATCTATGTGTGACCGGAAGGTCGGATATGTTGTGAGTTATATGCATTGTATGTGATTAAGTTAACCGTTTGTATGTGGTATGTATGCTATGCTTGATATGGGCCGGAAGACATTATGTTATGGGCCTGAAGGCATTGTGATGTGGACCGGAAGGTCGACGCGGGTATGACCGGAAGGTTTACTGGGTCGGGACGGAAGTCCCCTGAGACACATGGACCGAAAGGTCATGGCCTGGAAAGGCGTATGTGCGTAAGTAGTATTTTGGGGAAACTCACTAAGCATTTATACTTATAGTTGTTGTGTTATGTGTTTCTGGTACTAGCGAGGACCATGGGAAGGCGCCGACGTGATTTGTACACACTGACGGAAGATTTATTTTATGATCTTGGGATTTGACATATTTTGTATTATGATTATGATACATTGGATTTTATGGCCTGTTTTGGATGAAAACATGTTTTAAGAAATGAAAATTTTATTTTGAAAATTCACGTTGTTACAGGTCAGCGTAGAAATAGAAAGTCAGCGCAAAAATAGAAAGAGTCGCGCACCTTCTTCAACTCTCTGTACACCACTCGGGGAATGCATTCTCTGATCACAATCTTAGTTATAACGTTAATTTCCTCTAAACAATTTCATCTTCTTCAAGTTCATCAATGGTTGATGCAGCACTAGTAGGAGACTAGGAGTTGGATTAGGATCCATTGTTTCTAATCTATCAGATACCATTATACACTACGTAAGAAAGCCTGACAGTTTAGATCCCAACTGATTCGATTAGAAGAAACTGTCACGAGAATTAAACCGATGATTAATGAAATGGAGAAACTAACCGCAGTAGTAGATCGCCCGAAATCGGAAAAGGAGATGTTCATCACTCTTATGAGACACGCTGAAGACCTGGTTCTGTAATGCATACGTATCAAGTGGAACTTTTACAAGAAATACATTCACACGTTAAAATGGATGAGGTAAATGCATCGATGTTGAGATTCCTTCAGACTGATGTTCAGTTTTTGATGTTTAGGAATATACAGGATCCGCAAGTGGAGATAGGTGTGCAAAGGAGAAGGATCGAAGGGGATCAGGTCGTCGGTTGTGTGGCATATCATCGGTGAACGGCGATGTTATAGGATTTGACGATCGAGTAACGGATTTAAGGGTGATGATCCTCAAAGATTCGGCAAAAATCTTGCTACCCTGTGGAACAAATTTCATAAATTTCAATAGGGTAAATGGCACAAAAAACACTTTTTTTACATAGAAATTCGATTTTGACACTGTGTTTTTCAATTTGTTACAATTCTGACCATTTGACCAGTTAACCAGGTTACATGATGACGTGTCAGTTTTGATTACGTGACATGCTGACATGATATGCTGATGTGTCAAAATTGATTTTTTTTCCCACAAAAAACACTATTTTTCATTTTTTTCGATTTTGACACTAAGTTTAATTTTTTATTTCAATTTTGACACTTTGTTTTTTTTGTTCCAATCGAACATCATTTATCAAATTTTGTTCAATTTTGCCTATTTTTCATTTGAAACCGTATAAATATATTTTTTTAATTACATTTTAAACCGTATAAACATATTTTTTTCGTTTAAAAACCACATTTTTATTTAAATACAAGATGTTTTTGTTTTCTTACATTCAAAGCATTAGTTATATCATGAGAATCAAACTAACCATGAGTTTCTAATAAGATGTAAATGTTTGATGGGTTGAAAACTTGATATCCAAGTTTTGATCGACTACACGTCTCCAAACCTTCAAACACATTTTAAAGTTGCATATTTAATATAAAATACAATTTTTATATAACTGATACATATTTATACATAAAAATATGGTTTGAGTGTAAAATAATAATAATATTTAATATGTATTTATACAAAACTATGGTTTTTAAATGAAAAAAAACATATTTATACGGTTTAAATGTATTAAAAAATATTTATACGGTTTCAAATAGAAAATTGTCAACATTGAACAAAATTGGAAAAAATGATGTTCGATTTGGAACAAAAAACATAGTGTCAAAGTTGAAAAAAAAAATAAACATAGTGTCAAAATCGAAAAAAATAAAAACTTAGTATTTTTGTGAGAAAAAAATTTAATTTTGACATGTTAGCATATCATGTTAGCATGCCACGTCATCAAACCTGACACGTAATCATGCCACGTCAGCATGTAACATGGTTAACCGGTTAAGTTGTCAGAATTGTAACAAATTGGAAAACACAGTGTCAAAATTGACACACAAAAAAAAAACACGATGTCAAAATCGAATTTCTGTGTAAAAAGAGTGTTTTTTATGTCATTTAGCCATTTCAATATCTTCAATTAGTACATCAATCATAGAGTTCACACAACTGTGAAAATTGTCCTTGATCAAGTGCAAAAATAGGCAACAGTTTCAACGAATGCATATACACAACAAGTTGCCAAGCCTTGTGGAGATCGATATCCGACTCTTGTTATGATTTAATCACATTTCCCGCAATGTTATGCAATCTAATCCGCCTTAGGAAACTCAACATCATTAATTGCCTCAACTTGAGTTCACTTTCTGAAGGTTTTGGAAACATGAGGTATTTGTTAGTTTTGCGGCTTGCATCATGCTCGAATCTTATAGATTTGCCTGAATCGACGAGAAACCTGAAGAAATTAAAGGCTATTGATCTATCAAACTGTTTAAATCTAAATAAGTTGCCGGAGCATATAGGTGAGATGGGTGCTTAATCTGCCACCATTGGTCAAGGGTTTACACCAATTGGAAATTTTCTGCCACAAAAAAACCTCCTTCTTGTGGAACGATCTCATAAACGTGAAAATACAATTGGTAGAAGAATATAGATTTCAAACATGAAAGTAGAATAACATAAGTAGGTGGGTATGATCCTTAAATATATGTAGCTACGATCTTTTGTGTAAATCGTCCACCGTTACTTGTATTTATGGTTTTTATGAATTATCTACGACTGATGACAAAATGTAAATGTTATTCCATTGGTATTTTAAATTTAACTGTAAATGTACTTTTTCTATATATATATATATATATATATATATATATATATATATATATATATATATATATATATATATATATATATATATATATATATATATATATATATATATATATATATATATAACAAGATAATCTAAATTGTAATTACGTTGATATACTTGTCAGATTTTGTAATGTAACATGCTAATATTGGGTATACCATCAAGAAAACATGTATCCAAAATTTTATTTAGGTAAACAAGCAAAACCAACTAAACGTACAATACCAATATTGGGAATAGTTAAATAGGTTACACGAAACATCAAGAAAACATGTATCCAAAATTTTACATACATTAAAAGTTCAATAGATAGAGAAGACAACCAACATAAGAATGCCCTACTAATAGCAAATATGAGAAGGTAAATCACAATATATCATATTAGCAAATAAGGTGAATATGTGATTATAAGCCTTGAACTTAAAACCGGATTAAACATGCACATCTCTTAGGATAATCTTCGAAAGGGTAGCAATTCTATCTTCTTCCACCAATTGTACTTCCACATCCTTGAAATCCCTCCATAACATTGCTATTTCTTCATCACAAACAACTTCAAGTGAGCCTAAATCATTGAATGACAATGGAAGCTCATGAAGCCCGGTGCAACCTCTCATATGAATCATCCCCAGACTACTCAACTCACCAATCTCCCATGGCAACTTATTCAAATGCAAACAGTCAGATAGATCAATAACCCTCAATTTATGCATGTTTCTCATCGATTCAGGCAATTCTTTAAGATTCCGAAATCCTTCGGTAAGCGAACTCAATTCATGGCAATTGGTAATGATTAGTTTTCTAAGGTTGATTGTATTGCAAAGCATTGAAGGAAATGTGATCAAATCATCGCAAGAGTCTATATCAATCTCCGAAAGCGTAGTTGTTAACTTATTGGTTATGTATTCGTTGAAACTGTCGCCTATTTTGCACATGATCACGGACATTTTTTGCAAGTTTTTTAACCCTAGGATTGATGTAGAGATTGAAGATATTGAGACGTGTTCTAACCTAATTGTAGTTAGATAGGATAAAGATTGTGGCAAGGGGAAGTTTTGAAGGTCTGAGAAGTTATACCCGTAGTTTGTTATGATTAGAACCTTTAGTTTCTTCATGCTTTGTATGAATTGTGGTAAGTGGTATACTTTTGACATGAAGTTCAATATGAAAACTTCAACTTCAGGGGCTCGAATGTCGTCCCATTTTAAAGAGAATCTTTCATCTGCCGTCATATAGTATGCATGATAGGATTAGAAGAATGAATAATGAAATTTCGAACTAGATATCATGTTATAAATTTGGGAAATGGGGTAAAACAAACCAGTGGTAATGGACAATATAGTGGCATTGATAGTATGAGGCAATTGGGGAAGGTCTTGTCCATTTGCATTTATGATTAACCTCTTTCTATGCTCTATTGGCTCTTGGTTGCTCAAACGAATAGCTAGCATTCTCATCAAATCGTGTTGTATAACAGCTTTCTCCTCACAATAATTGGCAATCATAGGCGAATCTATCCTACAATCAAATGAAAATTTATTCAAATTTGTCAAACCATTAAGTTTATTTCTTAATGTTAAATTGAATTCAGAAGCCAAATACCGAATTGGCAATAGAGTTGCAAGGTTTCTATAAGAGAGCTCTAAGAGACGTTTTATGGTAGCAAATCCGTGTTCATCATGATTGTATAAATGAACCCAGATGTCCATAAGCATTGTAGCCGATATTTTCTCATCTTCAGGAAATAATCCCAAATCCATGTAACATTGCTTGATTACAGATTCTTCTTCAAACACATCCAAACTTCGTGCTAGACAATGTTCTATAGACTGATGCAAATCCAAAACAGATTGCTGCCCATCAGATAGTTTGTTCAACATGATACACCAACTTACAAGGGGTTTACCCTTTAGCAAACCACCAATCACACTAAGGGCTAGTGGATGTTTCTTGCAACACTTCACCAACTACAAAAAGCTTATATTACTTAGCTAGAAGTTCCCAAAAGATATATGAATCCTACAAAGTTCAGTTTTATTTAATAAAGGTTTCATTCTACCTTGTCAACAAGATCATTCGGTATATATTTATTCACATGTTCTGAAAATGCAGAGTAATTAAACAGTGTGGTGGCATCTTGTTCGTTCAAAAGTTTCAATTGATATGTATTGAATTCTGTAAAAGTGGTTCTAGATGTAGCCAGAATCTTGTATCCTTTGAGATTGAACTTGAAGCGGTTAATAATCGAATCAGATAGGTTGGTAATGGAATCAGGCCATACATCATCCAGAACTAATAGTACTTCAGATCCATTTTCTCTTAAAAAGCTCCCCCATTGATTGATTGCATCATCATCGTGAATAAAATCGGCTTCCTTTCTCTCCAGTAAATTTTTTATGACGATTTTTAAATTGGGGGTGTCTGAGATGGTAGCGAAGTAGATGTTTCCACCAAAATTTTCTGTTCAAACGAGAAAACTGTAATCAATAACAGAAAGATCTGATGGTAGCGAAGGATGAAACGAGTTTGAATACCTTTAATTTCGGGATCATGGCAGAGCATAGTTACCAACGTAGTCTTCCCACAGCCTCCTGGAGCAGAAACAACTACAAATGAACATTCATCTCCGACTGAATCTTTGAGGACCATCTCCTTCAATTTTCTAACTCGATCTTCGAATCCTATCACAGAACCCTTCAACGACGGAATCCTACAAGATGAACGACTTGAATCCCCTTTCATCATACTCATTATCACTTTCTGATCTCGTACCATCACCAACTGAACATCAAACCGAAAGAATTCCAGCATCGATTTATTTAAAGCATCTAATTTCAACGCGTAAGTGTATCTCTTGTATAAATTCCATTTGACACGCTTGCATTTCAGAATTAGGGCTTCTGCGCCTTCCATCTGAGCGATGAACATATCATTTTCATGTTTCGGTCGATCCAATACTTTAGTTAGTTTCTCGATTTCAACAAAGATCGGCTTGATTCTCGTGATAGTTTCTCATATTTTAGTGAGCTTGGAGCTAAACTGCGAGGGTTTCTTTAATACGTCTATGATGACATCTGATAGTTTAGTAACAGCGACCCCTAGTACAGCCCCCAAAAATAACCCACCAGCCATTGATGAACTTGGAGAAGTTGAATTTGTCTGGACTTAATGAACTTTGAAACTGAAATTGTGATCGTAGAAATGAGAATGCATTCCCGACGATGGTCTGGAGAGAGTTGAAGATGATCAGTTAAGGTGGAGATGACCGAAGAAACAGGAAGAAGCTTCGCTAATTTGACCAGAAGTCAACTATTAAAATATATTCCATGTAGATACGGGTCACATGTGTCGTGTAACATGGTTGTCAAATTGATTATTTTAGGATTATACTGTCCCTCAGTTGTATAAAAAATCAGAAGAGGGATGCAGAAAGCAACTGACTAATCGATTAGTGTTACTTTGAAATATATTTACATATTATTGGTATTTTATTATTTTAAACTTATCAATAACTACCCTCACGCAGACCTTTTTCTGCCTTTCCATCACGCGGCAATGGCCCTCCGCATTACTTCGCCGTTTCGTCATCATTCATCAAACTTTCTTCGCCATGAATCGTCGTTGACTCTTTGTTTCTTTACAGTGCCTTCATCGTGTTCTTCATGTATATATGTTACCTCTTTTGTTATGTTCGTGCCTTTACTGTCACACCAAGACAAAAAACGGAAAGGAAAATCGCAGGTGCTTTGAAGTTGAAGGTGGTGTGATGGGTGTTATCTAAGTTCCGACATGGGGAAAATGCTCAAGCGGTTAACTTAGACTGGTTTACTGGTAGTGCCTGAAAAAACGAAAACTGAAACTTTTAAACACCTCTTAACCTTCGGATGAACCGGTGAAGTAAACTTTGTGACTCTCGGTCATCTTCTCAGGACCCAAGAAGGACTCCCACCGGTTGATTTAGCATCTTCCTTTCTTTTCTTCGATCCTACAACACATTAAAATGCAATCTTATCACATCACGTATTAAAAATCTCCAAATAAGAACTTAATAGAGTTAGATAGTGTGTTTTACCTGAAGCAGAGTCATACACCTTGGCTCTCCCATCTGTTATATCTCTCAAGTAGTCAGGGCAGTTTCATAACCAATGCCCCCTCTTTTGGCAGTAGAAACGTATGGATTCTTCTGGAATGGTACACAAGACTATCTAAGAGTCATCCTTTCTCTTGCGTAGAGAAAACTTTTCTAGACTTCCAATGTTGCCATTTCCCATAGACGGTTGAGATATTGATTTACCAGAAAATTTTGCTTGACCAGTGCGCCAAATCATTTCTGATTCGGCAACAATAAAAAAATAAGTCAAATCACTGAGGGTTACTTCGTGTTCCATCATATAGTACTCTCTAAAGAACTTACCATATGATTCGGAAAGTGAATGAAGAACCAAGTCAACAACCAACTTTTCTGAGACATCGACACCCAACATTCCCAATCTATTAATATGCAACTTCATATCCAAGACATGAGCGCATACCGACTTTCCATCTTCGTGTCTTTTCGTTAATAGGGCTTGAGTGACCTTAAACTTCTCAGGTCTTCGAACACGTGGGTCAGGGAGAATTATTGGAGGAGGTGGAGGAAGTGAAGAATGATTTCCATTTCCACAATCCAATCGTGGAACATCATCTTCAAGCGGAAAACTTTTTCCAACGGATTCAGGAAGACCATAGTTGTTAGACTTTGACATCTATAAAACGGGAGAAAATTCAAGTTAGTTGATTGAGCCCTTAATAAAACACCCAAATGAGATATTAAGGCTAGGACCCAACACACTATTCTACAATTTGGAAGAGGGATGCCGTAATCCAAATTGCAGAACATTTGAAGGTAGGTAAATGACGATTTACCAATTTCCACCATGAAAAACGAAAAAAAAAAAATTAAGTTTTAAATGAATTGAAACTCCTAGATCTTATGAGATTCATTGAACTTTTCAATGGCATGTTTAAATCTTGATTGTGCCCTTTATTTGAGACTGGGATGCCGAGGATTACAAATAAGTTGTCAATAACAATGCACATTAGCTTGGTACTCTCGATGTTACAAATCACCTAATCAATGTGCCAGTTAACCACACACGCTCCATTGATCTATGATAAACATCAAGCTACCAATTTCCATCCTTCATTGGTTCCATATTGGTGTGTCAGTTAACCACACACGCTCCATTAACGACTAATAAATGTGCAATGTGCAATTTCGTGGATTAGCACTAATTCCCCATTTTTCCTAAAGTAACTAAGATTTGGGAGTTTATAAAAGTGTTTAGTTACTTTGTATTTCATTAAACTTATAATGGAAGGTTGTGTCCTATCCTACCCGTTCGGCTAACGACCCTCCACTAGTCAAGAGTGCGGTGGCTAAGAGTGGATACCCATTCAATCGCAAATTTATAGGCAATTTCCTTAAGCACCCCTTAAAGACCAGGTTCGTGAATGAGGCCTACTAACGGTAAGACTGACCTTTTACTCATACATATATAATATTAGACTTTTAAATTTATATATAGTATAAGGGTGTATTTTACACTTTTAAAATACTAGGTTGTCTAATTTAATAAAATTATACTTTTAATTTAATTAAATATAAACCATATCATTATGGATTTATTAACTCTCTTTTAATTATACATTTAATTAACTTAATAAGACCATAAGGGTGTAATTTGAACTTTTTCAAACAACTACAGTTTTAGAATTTAAATTTTTCAAAATTAAACTTTTAACCAAAAATTTAAATTCCAAAACTTGAGGACAAGTTTTGAACTTTTCAAAACATTAAGGTTTAGAATTTAAATATTTCAAAATTAAACTTTTAATCAAAAATTTAAATTCCAAAACTTGAGGGCGAGTTTTGAAACTTTTCAAAACTATCTAGATCAAATTACAAATAATACAATTAATCCAATAATTGGTGATTATCTAAATATGACCTAATTCAATTTCTTGCAAGATAATCCATCAAATAATTAAATAATCAAAATTTATCAGATAAGGAAATAATTATTCAAATAAATGATAATTATCTTCTATTTTGGTAAGGATAATCACTCCATATCAATAAAAATCGTATTTTATCAACAAAAAACGTTTTTGGAAATTATCCCACAGCAAAATAGGTCAAAATCCCGCGAAATCAGCCATCTGCAACTCTGACTCGTCAAGTTAGCACTGGACTCGTCAAGTTCCATGTGGACTCGGCGAGTCCAGCACCCATAAAGTAGAATTTTGCGATTTTAAGCTTGAATGATTATGTAATACATCAAATACATTATACAAACAGCCTAGGCTCTGATACCACTGATGGGTTTTAAGCAAAACATCAATCTTATAGTGTACATGCAAACCCTAATGCTTTGGATCTAGTTTGTCTAATGAACATGTAATAATCATCCAAAGCTCATAAACCCTAGATCTAGCATACAATAATCGATATTATCATAATAAAAGGATTTAGATCTTACCTTGATTGTTATGTAGCAATAACAATCTCAATTCCTCTTGATCTTGACTCTTGAAAGCTTAGTGCCTCAAGTGTTGCATCTCTAATGGAGTCATAAACAACATAAGCAACAAGATGAACAAGGAGAGAGGGATGAGGCTCCAAGATACTCCAAGGAATGTTTAGCCACGTTTTTGGGAGCCCTAGGATTCCTTTTATACTTGTGTGGACTGCTAGGATTTTTGGGTGAAACCCTAATTCTCTACTTAGGCCTTAAGCAACCCATGGAGTCCCTCTAGAAAGCCCTTAGACGAAATCCATATGGGCTTCCCATAGATTTCGTTCAATCCCCTTTCAATTAGGAATCCATAGCCCACAATGCAATTATCTTGTAATTATAATATTAGTCCCCCAAGTTTAATTAATCTATTTTAGCCACAAAATTAATTCTTTACAAATATTAATTAAACAATATGATTTCTCATTTAATATATTATTCACATAATATATTAATAAATCATAATTAATCCTCTTTATCCTTAATTCATCCTATCAGTTTCTATGGTGAAGGCAACCCAAAAGGACCATGCTCGTAATCAGGTCAAGTACATACCAATACAGTTAGGGGCTTAGACACCTAATCCAACATACCTAAGGTTTGTTGACATATCGCCTCAACCCTACCGCTCTTCCCGAGCCTCCGTGCCTACGGCTTACAGCCGGCCCGCATCGGGTTTCTTGGTCTACCGCACAAAGTAGGCCCGCCTGAACCCATAACAAACACAATATTTCAACATATAAATAATCAGGACCAAGTAGGCACATGATACATGCAAACAGTAATCATAAAACTCACTACAAGCTACTAATCCTTTCACAACATACAGTCCCGCTACCAACTAACCCCCATAGAATGCATAACCATAAGTAACCAGATGTGAGATATCCACCCGAACAGATGGTCCTACTCTAGAGCCACAACCAAACAAGGAATAGGCAAGAGAACCTAGACCAAGAGATCTCAGGCTATCCTACATGACCACCGAAAGTCCCTAAGGGCACTCCATAGATGATAACCAGCAAGCATAGATAATATACAGTTCTATAGGTTATTACCATAAAACTGATGGGTTTTAGTCATAAGAACACCCTATGTGCTCATACAAACGCTAATACTTGGATCTAGGTTTCTCTATTGTACATGCAATTTATCCAAGACTATCAACCCTAGATCTAGCATATGATAATCAATATAACATATAATTAGGGTTTATATCATACCTTGATTTTTATGTAGCAATAACAATCACAATTCCTTCTTGTAATGACTTTAGAAAGCTTAGAGTCACAAATGTCACCCCTCTAATGGTTCACAAACACCAAAAGCAAGAGGATGAAGAGGAGAAGAGAAGGAGGCTGCCTAAAACCATCCAAAACCCTAGAAGGAAGCTTGTCCACGTTTTTGAGGCATAAGGGTTCTATATATAGTGAGGCTATTAGGGTTATCTAACAAGGAAACCCTAATTTGGATGCTTAAGCCCTAAGCAACCCATGGACTCCTTTAATTAAAGGCCTTGGACGATTTCTAATGGGTTTCCCCATAGAATTCATCCAACCTTATAATATAAGGTAATCCATAGCTCAATTGCAATTATCTTATAATTACAATTCCAGTCCATTAAGTTTAATTAATCTCTTTTAGTCACAAAATTAATTATCAATTAATTCTTGACTAATATTAATTAAACAATATGACTTCTCCTTTAATAAATTATTCCTATAATATATTAATAAATCATATTTAATCTTTTCTCTGCATAATTCATCCTATCAAGTTGCTTTGGTGAAGGCAACCCAAAAGGACCATGCACCATCGGGTCAAG